CATTTCGAAATTAGTTCACAATCGAAGTTGAGAATTTGGCCCTTATGATTGACACTAAAAACGAAGTGAACAAAGAAACTGGGATTTAATCTATGCCACATTTCGAAATTATTTCACAATCGAAGTTGAGAATTTGGCCCTTATGATTGCGCTTTATTTGTTTCCACTGCACTTTTCAATTAATGAAGCTATAATTCAAATAATATTATGGAATTGCCGAGATTTGCAAAGCAATTGCCGTAATATTTTATCAATGAATTGGTAAGAAGTTACTGCATTTGTACTAAATCGATCGTGATTTCTTTTATTTTAATATAAATGTATTGGGCAGGTTGTTAAAGAGTTAAACTTGAGGTTGCTTACATGACAAGGAAGTATACACTAGAAACGAAGTGAATAAAAATCTGGGATTTAATCTATGCCACATTTCGATATTGGTTCACAATCGAAGGCGAGAATTTGGCCCTTTTGATTGCGCTTAATTGTTTCCACTGCACTTTTCAATTTAATCAAGCTATAATTCAGAGAATTTGGCCATTATGATTGCGCTTTATTTATTTCCACTGCAATTTTCAATTTAATCAAGCTGTAATTCACATAATATTTTGGAATTTCCGTAATATTTTATCAATAAATTGGTAAGAAATTAATGCATTTGTACTAAATCGATCGTAATTTCTTTAATTCTAAAATATGTATATGTATTGGGCAGGTTGTTAAATAGTTGAGGTTTATTCGTTAAACTTGAGGTTGCTAACATGATAAGGAGGTAGACACTAGAAACGAAGTGAACAAAGAAACTGGGATTTAATCTATGCCACATTTCGAAATTGGTGCGCAATCGATGTTGAGAATTTGGCCCTTTTGATTGCGCTTTATTTGTTTCCACTGCACTTTTCAATTTATCAAGCTATAATTCACATAATATTTGCAAAGCAATTGCCGTAATATTTTATCAATGACCTGGTAGGAAGTTACTGCATTTGTACTAAATCGATCGTGATTTCTTTCATTCTAATGTAGATGTTTTGGACAGGTTGTAAAAGAGTTGGGGCTTATTCGTTACTGAAGCGGTTCTGTTTAATAGTCCTCGACTGATATCGTCGTATTTGAGTGGAAGATCTCAGTTTGTTGTGCGCAGGGGTGTTCAGTCTGATGTTTGTGCTGTGCGGTGTGGTGTCCTACAAGGGTCTGTGCTTGGTCCTCTGCAGACACTAGAAACGAAGTGAACAAAGAAACTGGGATTTAATCTATGCCACATTTCGAAATTGGTGCGCAATCGATGTTGAGAATTTGGCCCTTTTGATTGCGCTTTATTTGTTTCCACTGCACTTTTCAATTTATCAAGCTATAATTCACATAATATTTGCAAAGCAATTGCCGTAATATTTTATCAATGACCTGGTAGGAAGTTACTGCATTTGTACTAAATCGATCGTGATTTCTTTCATTCTAATGTAGATGTTTTGGACAGGTTGTAAAAGAGTTGGGGCTTATTCGTTACTGAAGCGGTTCTGTTTAATAGTCCTCGACTGATATCGTCGTATTTGAGTGGAAGATCTCAGTTTGTTGTGCGCAGGGGTGTTCAGTCTGATGTTTGTGCTGTGCGGTGTGGTGTCCTACAAGGGTCTGTGCTTGGTCCTCTGCTTTTTATTATGTTCATTAATGACATTGTGGGGTCTGTGTCTAATTTCAGTAATGAAGTCTTCATGTATGCGGATGACATTCATGTGTTCTTTAGAAGTGCAGTTCTCTTTGAGTTAGAAAATGTGGCAAACGCTACATTGGGATTGATTTCTATGTGGATCTCCTCTAATGGTTTGTATGTGAATTATAATAAAACAGAAGCTCGTTATGTTCCTATGCCGTACATCTGTGTTGGCTCCTTTGTGGTTAATGTTGTGGATGAGATGAGATGTTTAGGTGTAGTCATTGACACCAAACGCATGTTGATTCTTTGCTGTCTCATGTGAGTTTTCAGCTGAGGAGGCTCTATAGTCTTCAAGCTCATTTGCCTCTTGGTGTTAGGGTGATGGTAGCCAGATCTTTATTAATGTCTCATGTCAACTATTATTTGGAAGTCATCTCTGGGGCGAATGCTTGCCTAATTCTGCGCGAACGCAAACTTGTTAACTCTATTGTTAGGCATGTCTTTGGGTTGCGCCGTAGTGATCATGTAACACAGCATGTTATTAAGTTTCTTGGTCTGTCCTTTGGCAGATATGTTGAATATCGCCTGCTTTCGTGTCATTACAGAGTTATGAGGAATGTTAATTCTCCTTTATATAATAATTGTGTGTTTTGTAAATAAACTCGAAATCCGCAATTACTGTTTCCAAGATTTTCGTCTGTAGTTGGCGAGAAGGCGTTTGTTGTGAGAGTTGCGAGATTGTGGAGTCAGCTTCCTCTGACCCTGCGTAATTTCACCTGTTCTTTTGATATGTACAGGAAGAGGTGTTTTGTATATTTGTCTGTTCATTGAGTTTCTGGTTGCGGGTTATTTTTTGTTATTTCTTCTTATTTATTGACTGAGGGCCATTTTTAGGTTGTTTATTTTCCATAGAGTACATAATTTAATGATGATTAGCACTTGAGTGTATTCATGCCTCTTGCCTTTTTCCTTTTTACCTTGCTTAACTGTTGTTCAGTTTGGTAGAGGAGTTGTGTCTGAGGGTCTAATTACTAATTTGCTACTTAATTTAAATTGTTATTATTATTATTATTTTTGTATATATATTACTATTCTACTATTAATATAGTTATAGGCTGTTTTTATACTGTTGTATGTTAATATAAGATTTTGGCCATGTTGGCTTATTTAAATTGAATTGTATGAAAATAAATGAAATGAAATTTAATCTATGCATTTGTTCATTGCCGAAGTATTTCGTCCATGCACTGTCAAGAAGTTGTTAGTTAACTGTTGTTCAGTTTGGTAGAGGAGTTGTGTCTGAGGGTCTAATTACTAATTTGCTACTTAATTTAAATTATTATTATCAAGAAGTTGTTAGTAGTCAATAACCGCCTTTTACTAGGGGATTTTAAGGCTCACCACGAGTTGTGGCATTCCGTCCTAGTTAATGACCAGAGGGGATCAGCGCGGGCAGAGTAGATTGACTGGTCCACATTCTGCACGGTTAACAAGGATGCCCCACCCGAATAAGCTCGCTAGACTTCACCATAGTGCCACCCGGTCTGATAAATGACGTGACCTGATAACCCGTCATTTCGATTGGATCAAACGCCTCCCGATAATCGTCTCCATAAGCAGATCGGCGATTTCATAACCGCCGCACTTTCCTTAACCATGGGAAAGCTCACTGGCCAAAATTCAGAGAGTTTACCAACCGTCTTTTCAGAGAACTGCCAAACCTTTCTGATGTTCGGGTAGCAGAAAGAATTTTCGAGACATCATCAGAGCTGCAGTCGCTCGCTATATACCTTCAGGCCGTATACCCGAAATACCAAACTTCCCCCCAGAACTATGTAAATTAATTTTTTTTCAAACAAACTCCTGTATATGCAGATACTAGGAAATACATATACAAAAATTCAAATTCTCCACCATGGTGAAATGTTTTCTACGTCCATATTGCCCAAATACAACAGGTTCATATCAAATTTTGTATGACCGACGAATTTGGGTAACTCTAATAATATATAAATGAGTTTAAATTGTGTGGTTAAAAACGTCGAGGGAGTACGTCGAATTGTAGGTAACGTAGAACATGTAATGTCTTCTGACAGTTGTGTTGAAAGAGAATTTTGCGACATTTCATAGTGATTATTTTCTTTTCTTAGCAATGAGCTACTACTCTCTCTTGTGCACATTATGTTTAATAAAAGGTTCATAGTTGGTATGATCTACTTCACATAAATTCATAATATAAACGTTTATTTAAAAGAAATACATTTTAGTGAAAAATACAACTTCCATCGCTTTTGACTTTCTATCTCAACTTAAAAGAAAATCAAGCGATTTCATTAATTTTTCGCGCTATTAAACTCATTTTAAAAATTAGGAAAAAATTAAAATAATGGAAACAACTTGTTGGATATAATTTTGAATAATTCCGACAGTAAGCAGGCATAGCCTTAGGTCTGTTTTTGTGAAGCTTCACGGAGCTGTTCTACCTCCTTATTGTACCATGTTAGCAACCTGTATTTGTAAAACAAATTAATGTTAATAACAATTTTAAAGTTTTCGTCAGGGTTTCCACCTTAACCAATAATTAGTGAATTTTTGCATTTCTTCTCAATAGCATTCCTACTTCTTGTGGCAATACCAATAAATTCCCAATCTTCAAAAAATCGTCAACTTTGACCTTTATGTGCCAACAGAATGAATATCTTCATTATTGAAACATATTTTGGCAATTACTCAACTGGGCCATGATACAGGTGTTACTGCCGTAAAATGAGGTTAACACTCCAATATACCGAAAATAGAGCGGTACCCTAATATATGAACCTATGGTTCTAGTTTTTTTCTAGGTGGCTCCCTACTTCGAGGGTAAAAATGTCAAATTACAGGTCTTCCAGCCGTTAAACCATTCACAGTGTAGGGAGCAACCGTTTTATAGGTACAGTGTTGAATCATTTACATATTAGGATTCTAAAATGCAACATTTCAAAGAATTTTTTTTTTAAAGGTTGAATAAACCAATTATATACAACAAGTACAAAAGTAGTTTGACATTGAACAAGATTACATACTTTGTAGGGTCAGTTATGACTTTTTGGGGATTTACAAAACAAATGGCGAAGGATCAGATTCATATTAGGATCCTAAAATGCAATATTTCAAAGAATTTTGTTAAAAAAGTTGAATAAACCAATAATATACAACAACTACAAAAGTATTTTAACATTGAACAAGATTATATACTTTGTAGGGTCAGTTATGACTTTTTGGGGATTTACAAAACGAATGACGAAGCTAATGTACCCGTCATAGTATACTGGAAGGTTTAAAAATATGTCTATATACTTTGACCTACCTTTCCACATCAATTTCATGCAGTGCACGGCGATCTATAATTGAATCGTAAAGACCACCGTAAAGACGAAACCCATCATTACTGAACTGCAGAGCTTTGTATGAGCCGTTCAAGTTTGATACTAAATCCAGATGTAGCAATCCCATTTCCTCTGATCTTCTCCATATTTTAGAACAGTGATCAGTACTTGTAACATATAAATTTCTTTCAAAGTCAACACACCACAAGTATTCTTTGGGACAATGCAGCTGTTGTTCCGTCATGCACTCATCTTCGTATATAAAACAGCCTCCTGATACTCTGCCAGCAAATATGGACTCATGTTTCTTGGTAAAATCTGATATGTCGTTGTTGTTTTTTGACGAAATCTCATGAAAATACTTCCTTTGAACTGCTTCATTCTTTAAACGCTTATGTTGGCTAATATAACAAGCGTAGGACAAGTACAGCCATTCTTTATCAAGAAAGAGTTTGGTTGGAAACATTTTAGTACGGTGAAAGTATTGTTGCTCACGATAGCAGCCATTTAACCAATTCTTAGAAATTTCCATACGTTTGCCAAAAGATAGTGCATACTGGGTGCTAAAAAGTTATAATTAAATTAATAAATATTAAATTATTTGTTATGATCCCTACATAACAGAAATTTAGTAACCGTCATTCAAGTAAAATTGTCTATGAAATGCAATTGTTTGCATTCTTCACAAACAATTGGACGTAGTAAAAGAATCTGTAACAATGGGATTATCGGTGCTGTTAATACTTTGATATTACCGTTGCATTATGATCGGGTTATTGCGACGACCACACATAAGTAAGTCTAGCGTTTTGATGCTAAAGATGTTATTTTCAATCACTTGCCTCAGCATCCAATGTACTTTACAAAGGTTTTGTAGATCCTTTTCGCTGCAGAATGAAAATATTTTCACTAAACAGTCAGGATTTATATCCAGCAAGCAAATTATATGTCTCATTTTATTTGAAAATATGTTCTTAGGTGAGTGATCTGAAAAGATATATAAAACATGCATCAATAATTTAAGGTGTATTCGAGGGAATCAGCGAATGTTAGAAAGTTTTTTAAAATATACAGCATTCAATTACAATCTTAAAAAGAAATACATTTACGTAGTCCTTTTAAGACGAGTTTAGTGATCTAAATTCACATAAAGAGTAAGAAGTAGTGTATGTTACAGTTACAATGGAAAAATATAGGTACATCTAGGAACAGGGAATTTTGGAGCAATCACGTACCCTTTGGGAAAATATGAAGTACCTTCCGATGTTGAATAACATACCAATTTTTTACAACTTCACGAGGATTTCCAAACAGTCATTCAACAATACTTAGAACTCTTATTAGTGAAGACTTCCATCCAAGAATATGAATAACAGCGCTTCTTTATGCAAAATATTCAAATTTTAATGACAGCACCATGGCCAGTTTTGATAGGCACATTCGAACTTTATTGCTAGAGAAATAAATGTAAATATCATTCGAATCTTAGATATTGATAGTGTGTTTTAAATGTCGTCAATAAATAGAATATTTTATTTGTATACAATGCTCCTTCTTCTTTTTTTTTGACCTACAAAGAAAAAGAAACAAATGACATTCAACTTGAAGTAATATCAGACAGTGTGGCTAACAGCTGATCTAAATATAGGGATGAAATTAACAACGTTGCCATACATTCTTTGCATTGTTCGACGTTTTTCACCATTAAAGTAAAAAACATGTATTAGTGCATATAACATGTATTAGTGCGATGCGTTAAATTTTATCGATAAAACAACAAATTAAAATAATTTTGCTCTGTTACAGAACCTGCAAGTATCTACCAGATTTGCAATTGTTTCGATGTCACAAAGGAAAAATTGTAACTCGAACATAAGGGTCAAATCCATGTTTGGATGAACGCTCTACTCTCTACACAAAGTTAAGATTTATCGACACTGAACTTCGCTTTGTGAAATTCTCTATGTCATTTATGCTGCCATGAATTTAACGTGTGCAATGAAAAACTGAGCAGCGCGCTATCAATAAGACAAGAGAAAAGAACATAAGGGTCAAATCCATGTTTGGATGAACGCTCTACTCTCTACACAAAGTTAAGATTTATCGACACTGAACTTCGCTTTGTGAAATTCTCTATGTCATTTATGCTGCCATGAATTTAACGTGTGCAATGAAAAACTGAGCAGCGCGTTATCAATAAGACAAGAGAAAAGAGTGACGGCTTTATCGACTCTGACATTTTATTTGTGGTTGTTGTTTTATCGATAATCTGTGACACAATATACCGAAAATAGAGCGGTACCCTAATATATGAACCTATGGTTCTAGTTTTTTTCTAGGTGGCTCCCTACTTCGAGGGTAAAAATGTCAAATTACAGGTCTTCCAGCCGTTAAACCATTCACAGTGTAGGGAGCAACCGTTTTATAGGTACAGTGTTGAATCATTTACATATTAGGATTCTAAAATGCAACATTTCAAAGAATTTTTTTTTAAAGGTTGAATAAACCAATTATATACAACAAGTACAAAAGTAGTTTGACATTGAACAAGATTACATACTTTGTAGGGTCAGTTATGACTTTTTGGGGATTTACAAAACAAATGGCGAAGGATCAGATTCATATTAGGATCCTAAAATGCAATATTTCAAAGAATTTTGTTAAAAAAGTTGAATAAACCAATAATATACAACAACTACAAAAGTATTTTAACATTGAACAAGATTATATACTTTGTAGGGTCAGTTATGACTTTTTGGGGATTTACAAAACGAATGACGAAGCTAATGTACCCGTCATAGTATACTGGAAGGTTTAAAAATATGTCTATATACTTTGACCTACCTTTCCACATCAATTTCATGCAGTGCACGGCGATCTATAATTGAATCGTAAAGACCACCGTAAAGACGAAACCCATCATTACTGAACTGCAGAGCTTTGTATGAGCCGTTCAAGTTTGATACTAAATCCAGATGTAGCAATCCCATTTCCTCTGATCTTCTCCATATTTTAGAACAGTGATCAGTACTTGTAACATATAAATTTCTTTCAAAGTCAACACACCACAAGTATTCTTTGGGACAATGCAGCTGTTGTTCCGTCATGCACTCATCTTCGTATATAAAACAGCCTCCTGATACTCTGCCAGCAAATATGGACTCATGTTTCTTGGTAAAATCTGATATGTCGTTGTTGTTTTTTGACGAAATCTCATGAAAATACTTCCTTTGAACTGCTTCATTCTTTAAACGCTTATGTTGGCTAATATAACAAGCGTAGGACAAGTACAGCCATTCTTTATCAAGAAAGAGTTTGGTTGGAAACATTTTAGTACGGTGAAAGTATTGTTGCTCACGATAGCAGCCATTTAACCAATTCTTAGAAATTTCCATACGTTTGCCAAAAGATAGTGCATACTGGGTGCTAAAAAGTTATAATTAAATTAATAAATATTAAATTATTTGTTATGATCCCTACATAACAGAAATTTAGTAACCGTCATTCAAGTAAAATTGTCTATGAAATGCAATTGTTTGCATTCTTCACAAACAATTGGACGTAGTAAAAGAATCTGTAACAATGGGATTATCGGTGCTGTTAATACTTTGATATTACCGTTGCATTATGATCGGGTTATTGCGACGACCACACATAAGTAAGTCTAGCGTTTTGATGCTAAAGATGTTATTTTCAATCACTTGCCTCAGCATCCAATGTACTTTACAAAGGTTTTGTAGATCCTTTTCGCTGCAGAATGAAAATATTTTCACTAAACAGTCAGGATTTATATCCAGCAAGCAAATTATATGTCTCATTTTATTTGAAAATATGTTCTTAGGTGAGTGATCTGAAAAGATATATAAAACATGCATCAATAATTTAAGGTGTATTCGAGGGAATCAGCGAATGTTAGAAAGTTTTTTAAAATATACAGCATTCAATTACAATCTTAAAAAGAAATACATTTACGTAGTCCTTTTAAGACGAGTTTAGTGATCTAAATTCACATAAAGAGTAAGAAGTAGTGTATGTTACAGTTACAATGGAAAAATATAGGTACATCTAGGAACAGGGAATTTTGGAGCAATCACGTACCCTTTGGGAAAATATGAAGTACCTTCCGATGTTGAATAACATACCAATTTTTTACAACTTCACGAGGATTTCCAAACAGTCATTCAACAATACTTAGAACTCTTATTAGTGAAGACTTCCATCCAAGAATATGAATAACAGCGCTTCTTTATGCAAAATATTCAAATTTTAATGACAGCACCATGGCCAGTTTTGATAGGCACATTCGAACTTTATTGCTAGAGAAATAAATGTAAATATCATTCGAATCTTAGATATTGATAGTGTGTTTTAAATGTCGTCAATAAATAGAATATTTTATTTGTATACAATGCTCCTTCTTCTTTTTTTTTGACCTACAAAGAAAAAGAAACAAATGACATTCAACTTGAAGTAATATCAGACAGTGTGGCTAACAGCTGATCTAAATATAGGGATGAAATTAACAACGTTGCCATACATTCTTTGCATTGTTCGACGTTTTTCACCATTAAAGTAAAAAACATGTATTAGTGCATATAACATGTATTAGTGCGATGCGTTAAATTTTATCGATAAAACAACAAATTAAAATAATTTTGCTCTGTTACAGAACCTGCAAGTATCTACCAGATTTGCAATTGTTTCGATGTCACAAAGGAAAAATTGTAACTCGAACATAAGGGTCAAATCCATGTTTGGATGAACGCTCTACTCTCTACACAAAGTTAAGATTTATCGACACTGAACTTCGCTTTGTGAAATTCTCTATGTCATTTATGCTGCCATGAATTTAACGTGTGCAATGAAAAACTGAGCAGCGCGCTATCAATAAGACAAGAGAAAAGAACATAAGGGTCAAATCCATGTTTGGATGAACGCTCTACTCTCTACACAAAGTTAAGATTTATCGACACTGAACTTCGCTTTGTGAAATTCTCTATGTCATTTATGCTGCCATGAATTTAACGTGTGCAATGAAAAACTGAGCAGCGCGTTATCAATAAGACAAGAGAAAAGAGTGACGGCTTTATCGACTCTGACATTTTATTTGTGGTTGTTGTTTTATCGATAATCTGTGACATAAAAAACGTGTCATCGATAAAACAGAAACCACGCAGAGTTTCACAGTCGATATTGCCTTTTGCCTACCTGTAAAATAGGCTCTATGTTCTGTCGGGCGAAAAATGTAGCTAAAACTGTAAGAACATAGACAGGCTTATTATAAAAACAAGTAAAAAAGCAGCTGATTCGGCCTTGCTGACCTTTTATGACCATCCACCATTTGAAAGATCTTGGATAATTTCAAAAAAATTAGTCAAAAAATCCACTTACATGAAAACCGTTATATGGGGGATATACGAAGTCGTGGACCTGCATAAGTAATTTTTGTCATAGGCTTTATTATTGATTCCGAACTTCATATACGCAATTTGAAACAATTCCGTTAAATAATGTTGCTAATATCATCAAATTTGAAACAATTTCGGTGAATAACGTACTCATCAAAATACCGGATAAAGGGAGGTGCCGTTATATTTGGGCTATACGAAGACGTGGACCTGCATAGACACTTTTTCTCATTACGAGCTTCAAACTTTAAATACAAAATTTGAAACAATTCCGGTTAAAAATGTAGCTAAAATCATCAAAATATCGAATATAGGGGGTACCATTACTATACGATACCGTGGACCTATACAGACAATTCTCTTCCAGGGGGTAAAGTACTCAGAAAAATATGGCTACAACATCAAAATACCGAATATACGGCTATACGATAACGTAGACCTATATAGACAATTCTCTTCAAGGGGGTAAAGTACTCACAACGAACTCCTTGTGTAGAATTTCAGACAATTCCGTTGAAAAATGTGGCCAAAATCATCAAAATACCGAACATCGGGATGGGGGGGTGCCGTTATATGGGGCTATACGATATGGTAGACCAATAAGAATAATTATCTTCCAAGGGATAAGGTGCGCATATTGAACTCTTTGTGTAGAATTTCAGACAATTCCGTTGAAAAATGTGGCTAAAATCATCAAAATACCGAATATCAGGGAGGTACAGTTATTTGGGTGCTATACGATATCGTGCACCTATATAGATAATGCTCTTCCAAGGGATGAAGTACTCACAAGGAACTCCTTGTGTGGATTTTCAGACCATTCCATTGGAAAATGCGGCTAAAATTATCAAAATACCGAATATCGGGGGGTACCTTTATATGGGGGCTATACGATATCGTGGACCAATATAGCCCATCTTCAAACTTGACCTGCCTGCAGATAAAAGAGAGGCCTGTGCAAAATTTTAGCTTCTTATCTTAATTTGTTTTGACTGTAGCGTGATTACAACAGACGGACGGACGAATTTTATGCTGCTCACTTTGTTGGGTCTAAAATGATTATTTCGATGAGTTACCCTCCATACTATGTATGGTGGAGGGTATAATAATGAAACTTCGTAGATTGTTTTACAATATTGAGTTCC